TTTTTTTTTTGGTGTGTGTACGTGTGTGTTGCTGTTCTTTTTTGTTTCTACTTTTTGCTTAGAGACCTATGGTATGTAATTTTCTTTCTACTTAATCAACGAATTTTTCTGTTGGCCCAAAATTAATATATATATATATATATATCACCAGATGTCACATCTTTTTTAATAATACTATTTTATTTAGTCTATATAATTGTTTACACAAGATTATTAAGACTCTTCATCCTAGTACCGGGATGCAAGTAAGATTCTCCAAAAATTACATAAAAGGTCGTCATGGGTGAGGGTAACTCTTAGTGTTACCTAAGAAGAGCATCTCCAATGGTGTGCTTGGGTAACACTTGAGTGACATTGGAGATGCTCTTAATAATGCGCCAACAGCCAATTACATTTTTTTCTGCTATGGAAATTCAACTTAGTCACCAGTAGTTTGCTAGGGCTTTTTTAGTTAGAAAATAGTCCTTTTAGTCAGATATGCCCAAAGCTTTTGGTTTGTAATTGCATTGTTGGTCTTTACTGGAAACAAAGCTGAAATCCTCCTATCGTATGTTAGTTAATTTGTAAGCTTTTCAAGCTCATCTTTTTCAAGCTCATCTTTTTCAGATCACTGTGTTTGGATTTTTCTCCCTTTGCCCATAAACAGAGCCGAATACAAAGTTCACTGTTCAAACTAATGTACCTTATACAAAATGTGGGAATGCTTGGAGTTTTCCATGAAAGACATGATGCATATATATGTACCAAACAACGCATCCATTTTCTACTAAATATAAGTTGGGTGCACTACTTTTTTGTGCTGGCTTGTTTTTAGCCATTGATCCCTTCATGAACTACAAAAAAGCATCTAAAAAGGCAAAATGGATTATTTTAAAGTTGTGGCCACGGTTTATCAAGGCAATAATCCAATTACTTTGCTTAAATAATGATGATTTGATGATAACAATAAAGTTAATCATAATGGTCCCAAACAACAATTTCTAATCTCCCCTTGGTCATGATATTGTAAAATTTGTCTAATATTTGATCAAATTAAAAAAATAATCTTACTTTGATGTATTTAATTTAATTTAAAATATTACTTAAATTACAAAAAAAATAATAATTAAAGAAATGAGAGACGTATGTGAACTTGCTATGTTTGAATAAAAAAAGTATCTTACATCAAGAGAGTTTTAATAGTATGATATGAAAACTTTTTTATGTTTTTCATTGTAGGATTTCAACATTTTTTGGCTTCTTTCATTGGAAATTGTTTTTATTATAGAATTGATGAATCAGAGCTTTCTATTTTGACATCCCACTTGGAGGACAAACTCAAAGAGCTATTATGATTTATCAGATAGAGTCAAACATATCCCAATCAAATCAACAACCACAGATAAAGTTGATGTGAGACGATGAGGGTGATCATACCATACATCTCCTAAGACTGCACCAATGGGATATCTACTCACCCTTCCAGGTCATATTCATAAATAACTACTAAGGAACTCGGATTTATTATATATATTAAAGCCTTTAAATTAAGCTATCAAATTCACAGGTTCAACCGTTCAAGCATCTGTTTATCCTATGCAATATTATAAACTAAGAATAGTACTGAACTAGAGTTTATGTACGCATCCCCGCGTACGACTCATACTTCACGCATGAATCTTGAGTGCAGTCTTGAAAGGATTGCCCTCTTACATGACAACATGGGCTGAGTCACCATTTTGTTAAACATATCTAGCAGATTATTACATAAAACATAAAGATGGCATGTTTCCAAACAAGAATCACCATCGCCCAAATTAAACAATTACACAAACAACCTCTATGCATTACATAATCCTTCTAAAGATGAGGGTAGGAAGCATGCCAGACAAACAACAGCCATTGTTATAACAGAAAATCTTTTTGGCAAATCCAATGATGCTTCACTGACATGGCTTCAACGTTGTAGTATTGAGTTTTTTTTTTTTTTTTTTAGCATATCATGTTGACATGTTTCCCATTGGAAACATATTCATAAGCAGGACAGTGGCATCACACCAATCAGCACATCTTGTTTATGGTTTTTCAAGTTATTATAAAACTTAGCGAATGGAGAATCAGCTTTCATTTTGTACGCAATGTTGAGACACTTAAACAGATAATGAATGTGGTTTTATACATTTAGGGTTTTAGAATGTAAGGTTTGCAGAATGATCTGAAACAATAATTGAGACAAAAGAATCCTTATCCTAAATTCAAGCAGATGCCCAACACTCTGTTTAGAGAAAGGAGGCATTCAGAATTTTCTGAAAGTGAGATTTAGTCGACCAGGGTGCATTCCGGTTTCTGCTAAAAGAGCCTTAGGAGCTGTGTCAGGAACTATTGATGGTACACCATGAAATACCAGCCGAGACTCACCACCAAATATAAGTACATCTCCTGATTCCAGTAAAACTTTTTCTGCCTTGTCAACATTCCTATCAATGCCATAGAGAAACTCAGCTGAATGACCTATAGAGAAGGAAACAACTGGTAATCCTTTATAGATGCTCTCTCTGCTTTCATCTCGATCCTGCATTTGGAAAGGCCTTAGATGAGTACAAATTAAGAAATTTCCAAAATCCAAATTGGTCTTTGAAAAGTGACCAAAAAGATAATCAACACTGCCAAACCAGTTCTCAAGTCAAATTTGAATAATAATTAGCAAAACATCAACAACAAAAAATATCTAGCAGAAGGGAACACATTCTTTCAGATAATAGAAAACACTTTAACAATTAATAGAAAAGGCGCTAAAACAAACCTGGTGGAGACCTAGCCGCCCACTGTTCATATAGAAGTTCACAATGCATATGTCTGGTGACATTGTAGGAAGTGTATCTTCCACATTGCTTCCTCTTAAATCTTTCTTGATGAGGGCATGTGCCTCTTGTAGTGCTCCTTGAACCAAGAGACTAAAATGATTTGGGATATCAGGTGGCTCGCAACAATCAACAGGATGTTCTTTACTGTACTTTCTTGTCTGAGGATCCCAATTAAGACCAAGGCACATCATGTGCAGATGTAGTTTTGCTCCATCCTTGTAGCCTGGTCTATAAAATCCCCCAGGGCCTTTGCCAAGATTGTGACAAGTCTCAACAATTTTGATCTGGAACATTCAAATCAATGAATTGGTCAAACTAAAACATATTAAAAGTAAATGCATGTTTCATCATAACCAAATCATTAAAAAGCAAAGAAAATTTGTTTCAACTACCAATTTCATCATTAAAATAATAAAACATATTGAAATTATAGCTAAAGTGTCAAGCAGCACCTGATCAGGAAGAGCAATGTAATGTTTCAACAAAACCATTCCAGATCTTAGTACTCTATGTTCATTCCCTTCCAGGGTTGCATCCATCTCCATCCTGTTCTGCCAATTGCTTTCATTAATGGAATCATTATGTCCATCAAACTCTCTAATTCTATGATTGCAGATATAGAATCTGTCCACCTTAACAGATTCATCAGAGCAGTTGGAACTCTTAGTACTTGCCAAATTTCTAGATTGGCTTCTGCCAGAAGGTGATTTTTCTCGATGTGTTGCCCTCTTTCCAAATTTTGTAGGCAAAGAAAGTTCATCGCAAGGGCTTGCAATATTTGAAATGTTTAAACCTTCAAGTTCAGGTGATCTAATATCTCCCTTCTTCTGCTCAGATCCTAAATCAATCCTAGTTTTCCTTCTACCTGAGTTCATTGCCTTCTTTCCAAACTGCATGGGCAAAGAAATTTCTTCACATGGGCTTCCAATATTTCCAATTTTCAAGCCGGCAAGTTCAGGTGATCCAGTACCTTCCTTCCTCCGTTTGGATCCTAAATCAATCTCACTTTTCCTTCTACCCAAGTTCATTCCTTTAGAACTACATCCCATGTTAACACTGAGTGGGGGATATTCTGCTTCATAATCACAATTCTGAACGTTGCTAGACTCAGACTGCACTGATTGTATACCTCTACTAGCTAAAGACTGCATTGCTTGTTCATCTCCACCATTTTTAGAAAACCCCTTTTCTCCAAATGCAGTAGTCTGCCGATCATGTGCCGTGGGTTGCTTCTTAATGTACATTTGATTGTTTTTCTGAGATTCATGACTTCTTTCCTGAGAGAATCCCCATTTAGCACCAGAATAAGCATAGAGAGAAAGCTCGTAGGTTTTGAAAATGAATACCAAATTCCATTTATAATCCTTAAGAAATAATCATTAGGTGAAAGGGATTTTTGCATTACCAATTTAGCATTCTAATTACTAAAACGAAAGAAAAAAAAGTTCATTTACATAAATCTTACACAAATTCCAAAAATAAACAGCATCAATTCCACAAAAGATAAATAAAAATAAAAACTGATTCGAAGACAGCAGTAGCAATCATTAAGCAAGAATTAACTGGCCGGTTCTTCCATAATTCAAAGTACTTTCTTTTTAAATCCCTTGATAAATCCCTATGCCAAGGACCCATTACATTTTAGAAATTACCCAAAAATAATAAAGAGAAAAAATAGAGAAGGGAATACTAACAGAGATAGAAGGACGGGAACAACTGCCACTGGGGTTCGGAACGGCGTTCTTGCCAGGACCCATTTTCGAGTTCGAAGAACAATACCGAACAGGAATTTCGCGGGAATAACAGGCGTTAGATGAGAAACGGCAGAGATAAGGTCTGATTGTGCGGCACGAAGATGGAGGAAGCATCTGCAGACTTGGTTTCGTGGCGGCTAAGATTAAAATGCGGCGCAGGTGGCGGTTGAACTCGCCGAGAAATTAAGGGGAAGCGGAAACGACGGAGACGAACCGACATCGGCGCAGTTAATCGACTCGTGTGGATTCCGAAGGGAACATCAAAATGTTAAAGTTGCCAAAATTTTGGGCCGAGACAAAATGTATGAATGGGCCGTTAAATGGCTATGTCTCGCTTTAGTCCATTGAACGAAACGGCACGTTTGATTTTTGGAAAGTTTGAAGCATTATTTCTAGAAGAACAAAGCAATGGATGGAAATCCCACATCACTAGAAAATAAAGGAGGAAATAGTTAGTTTCTAGTATTAAAAGAAAGCTAGTTGAAGGTTATTGCTATCTTTGCGCTTGGGGCAATGACGCAGCTCATGAGGTTCTAACCGAGGCGCGTCTATTGCTGGTTGAAAACTATTTCCAAACCCCCTCTTAGGCCTGGGCAAGTCTCTGGCCTTCGAGAATTTCTGGAAGGGCTCCCTTCGGGGTAAAGTCCACAATTCTATAGTTAAATATTTTTAGTTCTATTCAATGAATTTGGGTTAAAGCCCACAATTCTCTCGGGTTATGGCTGTTTAAGACTTTCAGGACGTTTCAAAAGCAACTTATTAGTGTTTTGATATCATGAACTGAAATTACAATAGCAAAAAAAGATAAAACAGAAAAAAGATATAAAACAGAAAAAAGATAAAGAAAAAGGATAAAAGAGAGCAGAAGGATTCTATCTTTAACCATTTTTAAATGTTGAATTAAATCTTGTAGGTCTGTCATTGCTCCTTCACCTAGGCTGGGCGTTTAGAGCCGCAACTGCAAAAATGCCCGTGTCCGTCCGCAACCGTAACAGGGGAATCGGGTTTATCTTGTGATCGGTTGAGGTGGACCTCGGTTGCGGTTGTAATCGATGGCCCAAGCGGGCGGTTGTTGGCTCTTGGGCCCAACAACCGGTAACCGCAAGAGTAGGCCCAAACAATCGAGGCCTTTTTTTTTTTTTTTTTAACTTTTCTATAATTTTTTTTCCATTTCCTCACAATCCCATCTTGTTTCTTGCAATCCCGCCTTGTTTCTTGCAATCCTACCCAATCTTGCCGCCCAAATTGTGCTCAGAAGTCGAATGCATTAGTCACTTCTTATGAGAATTTTTTTTTTACTTTTTTATAATTTTTTTTCCATTTCCCCACAATCCCACCTTGTTTCTTGACAATTCTTGTTACCCCGCCCAATCTTGTCGCCCAAATTGTGCCCAGAATGCATTAGTCATTTTTTATTAGATTTTTTTTGGGCAAACTAATAATTTAGCAACTAGAAAAAAACCTAAGTATAAAAATGAAAATTAACTTAAACTCCAACAAAGCAGCCATTTTCATCTTTCTTTTTTCTCTGTTCTCTCAACTTCGGAGGAACTTCCTACTCTCCTTTTTCTTGTATCTATCAACAAAGGTGGTGGTCGGTGGTGGCCGGTGGTGACCTATTTTTGTGGTTGCCATCGAAATTGTCAACTTGATCCCTGTTGTCCCTTTCTCTTCATAAATTTTGTCACCCACTCCTTTCAATTAACAAATTGCCCAAAACCGAAGGTATAAATCCTTTCTCTTTTTAATTAAATCTGAAAGATTTTTAGAAATTTTTTATTTTAAATTTCAATTCCTTATTTTTTAATTAAATCCTCGTTGTTTGTTAGAAAACTTTAACCCTAAAATGAATCTATTTGTTTTGATGATAATATTTACTAGTGTTATTATCTAAAATGCAATGTGATTATCTTCACATGGAGATTAATTGTGAAGAGCATCAATCAGTAAATTCATGTGTAATTTTTTAGCTTGGATTTGTTTTGAGCATCAAATTTAAGTTGTAACATGAGATTATTATTGATTTCAGTAAGGAATTTTGCTATTGAAATTTGGAAACAAGGCTAAAAATGCTAAGTATTAAGTCGGGTAAAACCGTAACCGACACAAAAAATTATAAAATAAAAATAACCGAATATTAAAAAACCGTAATAATTTAATACAATTAATGATTGTTATATTTTAACAACCAATTATGTGGTTAACTGTTAAATCGGTTGCGGTTACAACTAAAACCGCCATACGCCTAGCCCTACCTTCACCCTCCTTTTCATAACCATCTGCTGTTATGAAAGGGGAATTTTTTGGAGTTCTTCGAGCTGGGAAGTAGAAAGTATACTAAAATCCCACATCGAAAGAAATAAGTAATGAGTAATTTACTCTTGACAACATAAAGACACACCCAAAAGAAGGGAATGCTACGGAGCCATGTGGTGAGCACAGAGCGAACTATTCTTTCGCCTTTTACTAAAGAATACCGTGTGCTCTCCACTTTAAAGTGGCATACGCCAA